AATCCCAAAAAATCCGGAGAAAATCAGATGGCTCCAAAACCAGTGAAGAAGCCTGGTCAGGTGTATTCTGTGTAACCCGAAAATATGAGAATTCAAACTCCGTATTTCAAGCTAATATNATAAATTAAACTCAAAAAGTCCACAAACGAGCGAGTCCGTCCATGTGTACAAAAAGCTCCTAAACCTGGGCATAACATTAATTCAATGGAGACCATAACCTAGGGTACCAAGGTTCAAGTCACCTACTTAAAAAGTAAAAAAACAAAACAAAAAAAAACGGATAAAACACATGAAACTGAACTTTGGAACTAGGCAATATACAATAAGCTAACACGCTGTAGTGCTTGGGAAATTCCAAACCCTAATAAGAAGTGGAACCAAAACAAAATGAGAAGTGTACCAACTCTAGATGTGTCAGACATAGAAAACCCATATGCAGGTTTTGCATTGTGGACGGTACTTACACTACCTTAACTTCGAATGCGAAACAATTAATGTTTTACTTAAAAGAAGGGATCGAGTCAGTTGAACTGAACTTAAACATTAGAAAAAGTATATGTATTGCTAGGTGAATTACAAACCTCAAGGAAAAGTGGACGAAGTCTATATATGCAGACATGGACAACAAATTAGAAGATTATGCAGTGTGGGAGAAACCTTCACCCATTCTTCGAATGCGAATCGAGACCGTAGAAGTGTAGACCTAGAGTACCATGATGACTCTTCCACTTCTTAAAAACAGTCATTTGAACCGAACATAGGAACTAGGAAAGGTACAATAAGCCATAAAGCTGCAAAGCTTGAGCTGTTCTAGTATCCTCAGTAACATGTTTGTGCCTTTGGCATAGCTGGGATGTTTGATCACGAAATTTAATTAATTGCCACCTTTTGAACCTCGTATGCAGCCAATATACTGAAATAGTCCATGTCGTAGTTGGTTGGTTTTAATCACTACCTTTAATATTCTTCATTAACAATTATTCAAAGCCTGCTTTTCGACAAATCCCTTTCTTAACAGACAAACCCACATATTCATTTTAATTAATTTATATCCGCCGTTTATTATCAAAAGGATTGCATAATTTATGCTTTGTTTCATAGGAAAATCGGGGGGGGGGTATTAAACCGAAGGATTAATCAATAGAAGTCCATATTTCCCATCCTCCAATTAAAATAAATGCGCCTTCATTGGAAATCAATAAACCTATCCGGTTTATTAATTTTGTAACAAACCGTTTCCAACATTCTGCCCCATTGTTCATATCCGGGGGAATTAAAAAAGGACAGAAGATTGAATCATGGTAATTTGAGCTTCTTGGGTAGAAAAGACGGACGGACACTACTTCTTGTTTTATAATGGATTCACCATATCAAATTCTCACGGATCGTATAAAACCATCCTGTCTTAATATATTGTATTACAATTATAAAACAAATATATTTGAAAATGCATTCTTGCTCTAACTCTAAACAGTTCCTAGCAGATGCCTTCACGTTGTCGACCCCAATATCATCATCCTTTGAGCGTAAAGAATACGGTATGGAAACCTTCGTGAACCGCGTGTGGCATGTGGGTTTCCTATTCAAACACTTACCTAATCTTTCGCTTCCGTACAGGACGATTCTTCCGAGTTCACCAGGGGTCAGACTACTCCGATTACGGTCCTGTGGGAGCTGGAGTAACCGGACTAACCCTTACCTCCTGTTAGACCGCAGGCATCCCAACTTCACCCTCTACCCTCCTAGCATCCTTTGCAAACGACACAGCCGTGCTCTTGTCTCTGATCCCGATCGTGCAATTGCCTCCAGGAATTCCAGGCGCACGTCCAAAGAATAGCCGAATGGAGCAAACTACAGAGGGTAATGCCTTCGTTTAACCAGGAACCGACACACCAATAAAAAGACAAGAACTGAACAGACCTTTCTGACTTCTTTATAACTTGGACGTAAATTAACATGTCGGGGGGAAGAAAAAAAAACCAGATTTGGATATAATGGACTCGAACTACGAAGCTAAGGTTACCAACATCTAACGTTTCATAGTCAACGCTCCCTACTCAGTACCCAATACCACCCTCCACAACGAACTCAAAATACCGTTTGTAAATAAATTAATCTCCACCAAATTTTCTAAGTTCCATCCATAAATTCACTACTCACCCCAACCCACTAGCCCAATCATGTTCAACATAATGCAATCTGACGACCTCCTCTCCAAGGACCTTGTGTAAAGTTGGGAGAACCACAATGGTCCCCTTAAGACATAGCGAATTGTAAAAATTTATGATAAAACCCATAAAATCATAATTTATTATTTTAAACAGATGGAAATAAAGCTAATGCGCTATAAAATCCAATTATTATAGATTTGCTTGATTAATCCTGATTTTTCTCATCTGGACAACACATTTCGTTGGTGGAGTAAATGTGAATTGTCCACTCCAGTAAAAATTGTTTTTACTTAAAATCAGGGTTATTACGAACAGTTTTATTTTATTAATTAAATAGTTGATAAATATATTTTTTTTTTGCTGAAGGAAGCTACGTGACTATAATTCCAGAGTCATATTTTTTCAAGTTGGAAGAATAAAATTCATTCAGCTAGAAATTCTAAAATTAGTTCAGTTCGTGAATCGGCTGTTATATGGCCAAAGATCACTTTTCAAGAGCTTGATTTCTCGAGGAGTCTCTATACATTTTTTTGTTTTCTTTCAATTCGATGAATATTGATTTCAGGGGGACAACGTTGTGTTTCTCTCGGTCCCTTTCCATTTGGCCTATCAATTATGTATTTTTACGTGGCATCCAGTTCGCCATTCATGTTTCCTTTTGGAATCGATATAAATTAAAGTCAAATCCAGAAAGCCTTTGAATATTTCACTTAACGGGGGCTGAATTGATTTGGCCGAGTGCAAAGGACGCCAGAGGGTTTGTATATTATGCCATTCGGAAGACTAGATTTGAATCTTTATACTTTATTTGATTCATTTCCTTTGATCTGGTTCCTTTCCGCCATGGTGTCAAGGCCTTTAAAAATAATTACATAACACATTGTGCTGTAAGTAACAGTTACATAACTATTTGAGGAAAAGCGTAAGTTTACTTTGCAGATCGAAACTTGGCCAATATTAAATTTTTATTCTTGACGAATCCTCCTTGTTTCAAATCTTATTACAGTTACGTTTATTTTGCTAGTCGGACAGATGGAAACAGCGTGAATATACAGGACGTTAGACTGATCAAAAGAGCGAGGATATACAGACGGAAAGTGACTAGGAATGACTGAACTACAGATCCATCAACCCTCAGATGAAATCTCACAACTTACAGTTTACCTAATCTGACCTAATCTAACGGTAACCATAACCCCACCTAACCTAACAGCCTACCCAGGCGCACTCCCCAGCAACGAGAAATAGTTACGCAAAAATGGTCACGTAAATTTGTTGTATCCAATAATAATAATGTACACAATAATATTTGTTGTGTCCAGCCAAAAATCATATCCTCGTTAAAACAATAACGTATTTTTATGGCTTCTTCCTTTTCCTTGGTCTTTGTGCTATAATGGAACTGTGCCTTAAGAAAGTCATGTTCATAAGAAATTAGAACCCTTATAGCAGGAGAAAGTACATCTAAAACAGTGCGGATATGCACACCAAAATGCTCGGAAACTACTGATCTGCAGGTTCATCAATCACCCTGCAGACCCCGTAGGAAATCACACAATTTATAGTTTAGATGGATGGATTTTATTTTGTAAAATCTTAACTTTAGACTTTTTTTTATCCTTTTAACCTAACCCTACATTATCTAACCTAACCGTAACCTGTCCCAACTTAACCCTACTTGACCTAGCTTAGCCAGGCGTACCCCCTGGCAACGTGAAATCGATGACGCAAAATATTTGTTGTCTCCAGCCCAAAGACATCCGTATTGAAACAGTATCGTATTTATATGGCTTCTTCCTTTTCTTGGGCATTGTGCTAGTAGATTTGCCTTTAAGTTCATGTTCATCAGAAATTTGAGGTCTTATAGCATGAGAAAGTGCACCTAAAACGGCGAGTATATGTAGACCAAAATGATCGAAAACGACTACTTTTTAGAGAACATGCTGGAGTTTTGCTGAAATCACACAAAAACTCGCGCTTCACACAAGAAAACCCAACATAGTCCTAACAAACCAAAGCCTAACCTAACCGAACTCTAACCCTAACCGTACCCAAACCTTAACCTTACCCTACTTAAACCCAGTAGCTAACTGTAACGCTAATCCTAAATGGCTGAAATCTTACAAAAATTCGCGCTTCACACGAGGATACCGTACATAACCTAACTCTACATATTCCTAACAAACCATAACCTAACCTAACCGAACTCTAACCCTAACCGTACCCAAACCTTAACCTTACCCTACTTAAACCCAGTAGCTAACTGTAACGCTAATCCTAAATCTACCTAACCTAACCTCAATTTTGTGCATCGATGAGAAAATGATTGAATCCAGCCTAATAACATATCCACTCTCAAATAATATCGTCCGAGTAGTTTTATGGTTTCTTCCTTTTTTTTGAACATGGTGCTGTATGTTGCTCTTCTTGGAGAGTGAATATCACGCATTTTTCCCCATTTAATTCAATTTTAAGACATCAATGTAAGAACACAACACACATTACAGTTTTTTCCCATTGCCTTATAACTTTTAAAACCTCTTCCCTTTGAACGTAATAAAATAAGAATGATCAATTATCAATTGGCATTGGTTATTTCTAGAGCAAGTTAATTTGATGTTATGATGTGAATATATTTGCTGGTTTATTACGAAAATAATAGATTTCTTTAAATTTCGATTTTCTTCTAATTTCAATAAACTTTCTCTTTTTGATTGACAACAGTATGGTTAGTAATACTTTTTTGTTTTCGATTGAGAACAGTAGGTTTAGCAACTGTATAAAAGAATCCCCTTCTCTCGTTTTTAATTCGTTGTTTTCATTTTGCAGGTATCTCGACAGGTATGAGAAGATCCATTACCTCGGGGAGGTCGGCGAGAGGGGTGCGGATGACGACGAGGACAGCAGGCATAGAAAATGGTCGGCCAGGGCGCTCCATTCCGTACCCCTCACATACAACCATGCACAGCATAATGTCAACGGTAATTATTTATAATATTTAATAGTCACAAGGCATCAAACGTCCATCGCTTTTTGTAACTTGCCGCTCTCATCGTCGAGTTGATTAAATTTGTGAAGTGGTATCGTACATTATTCTCCAAAGTTTGAATAATTACATAGACAAATTTTGAACGATAAGAGAGATGGATACTGTGTTTACAACCACGAGTTGAACGTGAAAGAATGAATATGTAAACGTTGTTGGTTAGTACAAGTGCAAATAGGTTGAACAAACAAATCCACAATGGCATTTGGAAAATTCGTTTCAAGTAGAAAATTTTCCGAAACGTGACGAGTTTTCCCCGGGCAAGTGTACAACGGTTTCACGCCATGTTAGCCGCATAATTTCATCCAAACAATGCCATAATCACCCATCTTAGAGAGACAACATGTACCGTCGGATGGGAGGAAAATCAAAAGAATTCAGAGTGGTACGTGTTTCTTGTTTTCGATGGATTCTTCAGCGAATCCTTAAAAAGCCTTATGGATTCGTTCGTACGATAGATCTCGATTATGGATTGACTTAGCACAGTGGGATCCCCTTTGTGGTCTGTTCTGCTTCCTCTGGTTACCTCCGGCCAATGGTTTGGATCCCCAGAGAAAAAACGTACGTACGTTTTTGCTTCCAGGGATGTATCAGCTTCACACGCTACGGATTCGTCCCTACGGTAGATCAGGAGTAAGGATTGATTGACTACTGTTGCTTTCTCCTTTCATACGAAACGGAACGGTCAACACATTCAAACAGCAGTTGGCTGTTTTGGTCTGATGTCAGCTCTACTCTGCTCTTTTCTTATTTGATTACCTGCGGTGGTTTGTAGCCCTTGAATCCACGAATGAATCAGCCTCACACTACGGGAATAAGGATTGACTGACTGCCTTAACACGAGACGGAACGGACACCACTCTCGGAAATGGACTGTTTTGGTGTGAAGTTACGAGGGGAAATAATATCGCTTTATGGTCATCCTACCCTACTGTGCTTCCTCTCGTTTAGTTACCTCCGGCAGCTTGCCTCTATATGCTGTCACGGTTACACGAAGGAGAAGAAATCGGATACACCGTTGATTAATAAAAGAAGAGATGATGTAGGGATGTTGTATGTTCTTGTAAACCTCTTACAGCTGCAATATACTTACCCAATAAAATATATCACTCGTTTTATTTTTTTTTAAATAAGGTTTATATCAATGTTAAGTAATAGAAACAGTCATTGTATTAATTAAAGTGGGTGTGTCACTTAAAATTGTAATCTTCCGTCTCACGACTCTTTACATCTGACGTTGCTCAGAATGATTATAACGACATTTCAAATTTATGTAAGCTGTCGATGTTAATAATTTATTTAACCTATGATTTTTTTTGGGGGGGGGATTTCCTCCTGTGGACTGAGGGGTGACCTGCAATTTGGTCGTTAGCGATCTTCCTCGTCTGCCTATCCTCGCTGGGTTGGTCCTCGGACGCACTGAAGATGAGGAGACGCAGAAATGATTCCAACATCCCAAGCCAACGAGGAAGCAAAACGAAATTATCGGCCAATTTACGGAAATGCTTTTTGTCAATTTTATCAACGTTTATCGTTTTACTTTTATGAAAATATAGTTGTACTCACAGAAGATCAGAAGATTTCTCACGACCTCATATCATTTCTATTAATATTTTGATTTCTATTTTGTCTCGAGAGGAATTTTACCTTTTTGGAAAAAATAGCTCTACTCACAGACGTTTTCTCCCTCACTTCAAAACATTTTGTATTTATTTTTTCGATTTCTATAAAGTCTCGAGAGGACTTTTGCCATAAAACTTAGATCTTTAAGTCTTATTTTTTATTTATTTATTTTTTTATTTTTTACGAGGGTTTGCAACAGCAGAGGTCATATAAACCCTCAGGGTGCCGGTGTTTTTGAAAAAAAGCCCATTTGTAAGTATGTCGGGTTTGAATGCAGGGCCGCTGGATTCGAACCCGGGACCTTTACCTTACAGTGATGAGCGCCGTGTCAAAGACTAAACCTTGCGGCCACCGACGCCCCTTTAAAGTCTTATTAATTGTTTTTAAAGCAAAATTCAGTATTTAAAAAAAATATATATATATTGAGATCTCTTTGTACTTTGTGCCAATTTTTCATGTAAATAAATTAAAAAACAAACAATAAACATGAGTTTTAATTTTTAAAAAATTGTTTTCTTTCTTAATAGGTGTTTTTCTTGGCATTAATTTCAAGTAACATGCACTGTATTACTAAGTAATTAAACTAAAAAAAATTATGTTGATCAAGATGCCAGTTAATGCTCATAAAATCATTAATAAGACTTGTTATAGTTTTATAAATTTTGAATAGTTTTAACACAGATTATAAAAATTAGGCTTAAGTTTTAGTTAAAACACGGGTTAAAAGTATGGTGACATGGTTGTTTGATTTAACATTAATTGAGCTCTCAGCGCGTTGCTACTAGCTGACCATACAGACCCACAGAGAGGACACTCCTAACGACCGCCAGTACTGACTCCAGCTGAGAAGTCAAATGTTATTTAAACTGCGAATCGTATTATGTTTTTCCTTCTTAATTTTTAATATCTGAGTGAGTGGAGGGTGTGGAGCTGTCAACCCCTGTATTGATTGCAAAGAGTGGAACGCAAGCGTCAGTCCCGGGCTTGCGCAAAACGGTGGCCACTTCCATTTCAAAATAATCATAAATAATTTAACCCGATATTCAATTGTTCTTTTCTGGGTGGAAAAACGAAATTGTCCCGACTATCGGTCGAATCGAGTCCTAGCTGGAGGTGGGCCCGGTGGCTGTCCGACGGGAATCTTTTTGAAATCCGATGATTTAACCCTCTCCATTCTCTTTCCCACCTTAAAACGCATCTCGTCCTTATGAACCGGAAGTGGGACTTGCAGCTCATTCAAGGGCAGGGATTCACTGCCCATTGGTCGCGACGTTCGGACAAATTGGACGCTTCCCCTCGTCTCGACAGTTTAGGTTTGTGGTCGATGACAAAAATCCAAGTTCAAATCTTGTTTAATTATTTTAATTTGAACATTAATACCAACCATAGTAAAAATTTCTACAATCTATAGGCTGTTTTTCCCGTACTGTCCTCCACAACTATGCTAAAATCAGATTTAAAAAAAACAAAAAAAACTGTACAAGTTAGAATTATTCCGACCACTGTTACCTGTTCACTATATTGAATAAATAGAACTATTAATGCGAGAGATTCTGTGTTAATTACTTTGTTAATTGCTGGGTAGTGTTTTGGAAATGTTAATTTTTTGACCCAGAATAAAATTAAAAACACCCTTTCTATTAGATCTTACATTATTCATTATTTTCAGACATCATTCAGATCATGTTAAAGGAATGGGTTTAGAAAACAAGCCTATTTTAGTTTAAATAAAAACACCCTGTGAAGAAAGTATACTTTAGGTTGCCCTGTCATCATTTTATCATAATTAGATATTGGCTGAAATCTTGAAAAGTTTGGTTTAATAATTCATCATGTGTTTCTAACTAAGAACAATAAGTTATACTTACCCTAATGTGGTTCATTTTCTTATAAGTTATACATGTTCTAACTTCATTTCTTATAAGTTATACTTGTCCAGATGTGGTTAATTTCGTATAAGTTATACTTCTCCTAATTTCATTTTTTATAAGTTGTACTTGTTCTAACTTCATTTCTTATAATATATCTTTGTCCGAATTTGATTTCGTATAAGCTATACTCATCTGAACTTTATTTCTTATAAGTCATATTTTTCCGAACTTCATTTCTTATAAGCTATACTCATCCGAACTTCATTTCTTAAAAGTCATAAATTTCCGAACTTCATTTCTTATAAGTAATACTTGTCCGAACTTCATTTCTTTTAAGTTGTACTTATCCGAATTTCATTTCGTATGAGATATTCAAATGAACGTAATTTCTTATGAGTTATAATTGTCCGAATTTAATTTCGTCTAATTTATACTTGTCCGAACTTCATTTCTTTTAAGTTGTACTTATCCGAATTTCATTTCGTATGAGATATTCAAATGAACGTCATTTCTTATGAGTTATAATTGTCCGAATTTAATTTCGTCTAATTTATACTTGTCCGAACTTCATTTGTTATGAGTTGTACTCGTACGAATTTCATTCCCTTATAAGGTACTTGTCCGAAATTCATTTTTTCAAGTTATACGTGTCCGAATAATAACACCCCGTGAAGAAAGTTTTTGGGATAGCCTGTTATCATTTTATGATAATTAGATCAAGGTCTTGAAATCTTGAAAAGTAACTCAGATCAGTGTTGATTGTTTGGGGGGGGGGGAGTTGAAAACCCCATCTTCTAAGCCGAGACTGACAATAAATCGGCCCAGGCTTTTTAGAGATTAATAAAATTCCTCGGAAACATATTCGTCTGAAAGTCGTGGAGGAAAGGGATTATTGCTACTATGAAATCGATAAGCACCCTTCTTCGCTTGTCCCTGCTTTCTTTCATGGCACATTTCATACGATCCATATCAACTTGTGTACAAAGGTTTTTTTTGTCTTATTTACTTGCGATGGACAGTTTTTCGGTTTTGCGGTCCGGAGTGTAGGGGGATTAGGGAATTAGCGTCATCTACCTGAACAAAATAAAAATTGTGATTCATTCGGGTCGTCCTGATAGATGAACGAACCTGTAATTTGATCCTTAGCGATCACGGTCTTTCAGCCATGGCTTCTCGCCATCTTCAGTATTTCTATAAACGCAGACCAATATGGTCTGTAACGGCCAAATTGCATACGTCGACATTTGTCCAAAAAAACCCCGTCAGTTTTCTCAATTCGTCACTGTATCCAAAACAGCTACACTCCATTTTTATATCAAGGTCTTTAAGTACTGAAATCATCCAGCCGTCCCATAAAATAATAAAATTATTACAATTACGTAAATAGGTTTCTGTATGAAAGGCTCCAGTTATATTCTGCGCAATCCTTGAAAGTAAATTA